TTGGGGACACTGGGACCTGCAGCTGGCTCTCCCTGCCCATGCAGGGCTGGGGAGATGCTGTGCCAACCACCTCCTACATGGAGCACAGACCATCCCACCCCTGGTAACAGCCTGGCACAGCCTGCTCCATCCCCCAGCAAGCCCTGTGGGTTTCTAAGGAGCTGCAGAATTTCTCCCATAAGCAAGGAGTGTTGATCTGGGAAAGCACATGGAGCATCTCCAGGTGCAGCACAAGGAGCAGAGACAAGAGGCCACGCTGGCATCTCTGTGCTCTGTCCTTGTTCACAACAAAAGCAGCACAAGGGACAAAGGAGGTGTCATGGGGTGCCTGAGTCATGGCACACAGCACAGGAGCTGTGGGGATGCAGGTGTGGAGCAGGAGCAGGGAAAGCTTTGAGCAAGGTTAGGGAAAGGACCAGGAGCAGCCAGGTACTGACCTCTCGAAGATCTCTTGTTCTGCACGCTGGGGATAAGGAGAGAAAGAGTCATCAGAGCTTAAATCCCCACAGAAGACACCCCAAACACAGCAAACCCAGGAGCCAGGGAGCAGCGTTCCCCTTCCTGACCCAGAGAAGCCACCCCTCATCCCAACCCCAACCCTGGGGAGCACCAGGAGCATCCAACATCCATTTTCTTCAGCTGCAGCACTTCCTGACTCCAAAAATGAGTGGGAATGGCTGAAGGCAGTACACTGCACGTGTGGCTGGGACACTGTCTGCTGTTCCCTCTCTGTCCCCACCCCACTAGGGCAGGCTGCAGGAACAGCCTGTGCTCCCAGCAAACAACCCCAGGGCTTTCAGCAAAGGAGGGGAGCTGCAGAGGGACTAAGCCAAGAGTCAGGTGACCTCATGGTCAGTCCCACTTGTTTCTGTACCTGCTGGCCATGAGGCACTCTAAAGGTACAGAAAAGTGATAAGAAAATACCTGATCCCTGCTCAAATCCAAGCAGTGCACTCTGCATGCCTTCAGCTTTCCTGTGGCATGCCATGTGTTGATTCCAGATAGGCAGAAGTACCAACATTCACAGCTCAAGGTGGAAAACACGTGAACCCCTAATTCCCTTCCAAAAGGAGAAACTGAGGGTGTGGCTGCTCTCTGCCACAGGCAGCTGATGGATCCTGATCTCCAGCCTCTCCTCTTTGTGGTGCAGCTACGGCCCAGCACACCCAGGTGCTGGGGCAGGATAGGAACTGCCTTTCCCACCAAAGGAGCATCTGCTCTCTTTCCATGGGATTGGGTCTGGTTTCCAAGCCAAACTGCTGTTCCTCTCCTCACAAATGTACACGTGGGAAGCAGAGGCTGAGCATGGTGGTGGCAAGGCAGAGGTCCTGCTCACATCTAAAATGAGAGGAATCACTTGGGTGAAGCCAGATGATTCAATAACCAGAGAAGGAACTGAGCAAGGGGAAGCACAGGCTGCTTTGCACGGCAAATATCCTTAACAGGGCTAAGCCAGGCAACACTGGGGACTTTCCAGAAGAGCTGCAGGTGTTTCCAAGGGTCAGTTTTGATTAAACTAGACACTAGAAAACTGGTGGCACAACTAACAGTTGTCAGAGCAGCTCACAACCCAGAGCTGTCCTGGCTATCCAGCCTAAGGGCAACTACAAGCCCAGAGTTTGGAGACCTGAACGTGGGTGGTTCTGGACCTCATTGCAAGCAAGAGCAGGATCAGGCAGAGCAGATGCTCTAGGAACCACCAGAAACCACAGGGGCTTATCAGGATCAGGTCAAGGAGGTTCCCTGAGCCACACCTGCAAATGTCTGCAAATGGCCTGCCCAGGGAGGTGGTGCAGTCACCATCCCTGGGTGTGTTTAACAAAGCCTGGATGTGGCACTGGGTGCCAGGGTTTAGTTGAGGTGTCAGGGCATGGGTTGGACTCAATGATCTTTAAGGTGTCTTCCAACCTGGTGATTCTGTGAATTCCTTATGTCCTGCTCCTCCCAGCACAGCAGCTGCTGAACTCTGCATTTAAGTCCCATAACAAGACGTGCAGGTCAGCTCTGGGCTGCCTGGCTCTCCATACTCACCAGCAGGCCCTGGTCGTCCAGGTTGGTGATCATGTCCACCAGGTAGGTGCGGAGGGCACCCAGCTTGTGCAGAGCCTCTGTCCAGTGCACCTGCTGGGTGAGGATGCTCTGGTGTGCCCGCTCCTCCTCGGCGTGCACCCTCTCCAGCAGCCGCTGCTCCTCGCTCTCGCAGGCCTTCCCCACGAGGAGCAGCCTCTGGACCACCAGCTCCCGCGCCGCGCTGGCCGCGCTCTGCCACGCAAGGACACAGCAGGAGCATCAGCCCTGCTCGGCCCGAGAGCAGCCCCAGCTGCTTCTGCCAGCACTCCCGGGGCTCAGCCATCGGTGCCACTCTGCTAACTGAGCCCACGGCGCCTGGCACCATGCCAGCCCCAAACCTGCCCACTGCCTCCTCAGCCAGCCCCACACCTAAGTGACAACCTGCGAGGGACCAGAGTCCTGTCCCTCTGCAAACCTCCAGAGATTCACTGTGGGTGAGAAACAGAACAGGCTGAGACAGCTGGGGGTGCTCAGCCTGAAGGAAAGACGCCAGGGAGAACTTACAGCCCCTCCAGTGCCTAAAGGGGCTCCAGGACAGCTGGAAAGGGACTCAGGACAAGAGCCTGAAGAGACAGGACAAGAGGGAATGCCCTCCCACTGCCAGAGGGCAGGGTTATATGGAATATTGGGAAGAAATTTTCCTTGCAAGGGTGGTGAGATGCACAGGGTGCATCACCCAGAGAAGCTGTGCCTGCCCCTGGATTCCTGCAAGTGTCCAAATCCAGGCTGAATGGAATTTGGAACAACCTGGGATAGTGGGAGGTGTCCCTGCCTAGGGTAGAGGGTTGGAACTGGGTGGTCTTTAAGGTTCCTTCCAACCCAAACCAGTTTGGAATTCTATGATTCTATCACTGCCCTTTGTCCTCATCCTCAAGGAACAAATAAAATCAATGTAGGAATTCTAAGGCACTGATCCTAGCAGGATGTTTGATTGTTGTACACTCACACCATTGTCTATGCACATTTTCAGGCAAATGAAGCACGAATTCCAGGCACACCCTGGCATTCCATTTCCACAGCGGCATCGCGACGTTTTCCCCCTGGGAGCTGAGCATCCCCTCCGGGAATGGCGAGCAGGGAGCAGGCAGGGCCAGCCCCAGGGACTCACCTGGACGCCCTGGTCCTTGGCAGGCAGCACCTCGTCCACGTGCCGGGCGATGGCCGCGCTCTGCAGCTGGATCCGCTCGCAGCGCTCCACGAGCTTGTTCTGGGACACGGAGCAGCGCGGCGATGGATGCGGGTCGGGACGGGGCCCCGAGCCCACACCCACACCCGCCCGGTCCCCTGCACCCCCACAGAGAGCCCCCATCCCCACGGGGACCCCCGAACAGCCCCACACCCCGCATGTGCCAGGAGCCCCGCGCAGAGCCCCCGTCCCATCCTCGGCTGGGCCCACACCGCCCGGGGCTCCTCCGGAGCACCCAGCTCCGCGTGGGGACACGCGCACGGCCCCGCACCCTGCCAGGGACCCCCGGGGCCCCACACAGCCCCAGCGACCCCACACAGCTCAGGGACCCCACACAGCCTCAGGGACCCCACACAGCCCCAGGGACCCCACACAGCCCCAGGGACCCCACACCCGGTCTGGGATCTCCACACCCGGTCTGGGACCTCCACACCCGGTCTGGGACCTCCACACCCGGTCTGGGACCTCCGCACCCTGCCAGGGACCCCCGCGGCCCCACACATCCTCAGGGACCCTACACCCGGTCTGGGACCTCCACACCTTGCCAGGAATCTCCACGGCCCCACACACCCCCAGGCACCCCACACCCTGCCAGGGACCCCCAGGCCCCACAGCTGCCGAGGCACCCCCACACCCCGCCAGGGACCCCTGTGGCCCCCTACCCCCACCGGGACCCCCACACACGCCCAGGGAGCCCCATATCTCCCCAGCGAGCCCCATATCTCCCCAGGGACGCCCATACCCACCCAGGAGCCCTTACACTCCCCGGCACGCCCGCCCGGACCCCCGTCCCGCCGCAGCTCCCCAGCCCCGCTGCCCCCCAGCCCCGGGCTCCCCTCAGCCGGCCCGAGCCGAGTGCGCGGCGGGGCCGGGCCGGGCAGGGCCGCGGGGCTGCCCCAGCGCAGGGACGCGATTCCTCACAAACCTTTCCTCTCAAACCTTTCCTCACAAACCTTTCCTCACAAACCTTTCCTCACAAACCTTTCCTCACAAACCTTTCCTCACAAACCTTTCCTCTCAAACCTTTCCTCACAAACCTTTCCTCACAAACCTTTCCCGAGGGCGGCCCCGCCTCGCCCCTGCCAGCGGCACATGGCACTTGAGGGGCTCCCTCGGGATGCTCCCATCACAGGGACCCGGGATGCTCCCACTGACCCTTACCGGGCCACCCCCATCCATAGAGACCCGGGATGCTCCCAGTGAACCCCACAGGCTCACCCCCATCCCAAGGGACCCGGGATGCTCCCATTTAACCCCACAGGCTCACCCCATCCGCAGAGACCTGCCAGCACCACTGTGGGGTCACACCCAGCTCCAGGAACCCAGGATGTCCCCCCATTCTCCCCAAAGCTGAACACCCTCCTCAAAGGGATGCTGATTTCCCCGTGAGGATGGGACAGCTCTGCTGGGGTCCCTGTGCTGCTGCTGTGGTTGTTGATGTTCCTTATCCCACGGTGCAGGTTTCGCTGCAGAGCCTGGACAGGTGGAGGCAGCAGTATGGCTTAATTTTCAAAAGCAATTCAGTAAAAAAGGTTTCTGTCAAGTGATGCATTTGGGGGGAAGGGAGGATAAGGGCATCCTCCAGCATGAAACTCAGGCTGCTGAGGTGAAGCTTGGTGTGGATCAGTTGTCATAGCATCCCTGAGTTTTTAGAGTTTTGTGGTGCAGCAGCTGATGGATAAATGCGTGTTGGGATACAGACAGCAAAACCTTGGATTAACATCCTGCCTGAGTGCTGTTCTCATCCAGGATGGAGAAAAATCTGTTCTTTCTTGCAGTGAGGAAGAGGCAGGAGAACAGTGAGACCCAGAACAAAGCTCCCACCTTCCCTGCAGCCTCCCCTGGCCTCGAGCCACTCCCTGTGAGCTGATGTGCAGGTAGGGATGAACATGAACTAACTGCTGGTTGGAAACAGTAACCATCACAATTAAAAACTCAGAATTCCCGCCTTAGCTCTTCCTAGAGCCTTGTTTTGCAACTTCCAGAGTTCTCCCACTGTCAGAGAAAAATCACTTTCCTGATGGACTGAAATGACTGGGGCACTTGGTCTGATTGAAAGAATAAATTGCCAAATTAACACAGCCCCTTAGCTGTGAGATTGATCATTCCTCACATCTTTGGAACATGCAAACTCATGGATAGAACAGCAGGAGATTAACTGGGTATTACTAATTGCTAATCACAAAGGCTGTCAGGGTAAAATTAGAAAGGGAATTTTGTAGAAAACTTTTGCTCAGTGCTTCCAGGATTTGGTTTTGACTTTTTTTGTGGGCAGAACCTTCAAGCAGTTTTTTGCTGGAAAAAGCAGATTGGGTTTTTTTTCCCTGATTTTGATTAGCAAAATGCTGCAGCCATGGAAGATGGGCATGCCAGCAGACTAAATCCAATTAGTGTGCCTGGAGCTAAGCAGCAGGCAGTTATTGTCTGTGACAATTCACTGTCACTGAGACTGGTTTCTGCTGGGTCTGTGGGGACAGGGGAGGTGCTGCTCCTCCCCTGGATGGGTCTGCAGGGTCTGGCTGTGCTCCTCTGGGCAGGGACCAGCCTGGCCAGCAGGTGTTTGCTGAATGCTGCTGGGTTTATCCACGCGGTCTTGCCTTGCCTGGAACTGGTGTAGGGACATGGAGACTTTTCCCAAAGTGTTCCTCAGCTCAGGGAAAGATCACTTCAAGTATTGCCAGGCTGAGCTGGGGCTGCCTGTGCCTGCACCTGCACTTGGTCCCACCAGAGCTTCAGTCTGAAGGTGTTTGCCTTCACCAAGCCAAACACTGGGATCTCCAGGATGTATGGAAGTCCAGACCAGATCCAGGAGTAACAGGAGGTGTAAAGAATGACAGGCAGCAGCTCCATCTTTGTTGTGGCCAAGCTTGGACATTTTTAAGCTCAGTGTGAGGTCCCAGTGACCTCACCCTGCTGCTGGCTCTGCTCTGAGCTAAAGGCTCCACTCAGGACCTCCAGATGTCCCCTCCTCTGAGGTTTTCTCCTTACTCTGCTTTGAGTTAGGATGTAGATAACACATTACCAGCACCTTATCCTGTATGTGTGACAAACAGAAACCCCTCTGGATCCCTGGTGGTGCCATGTCCCCTCACCCACAGGTTGTGTCCCCACAGCAGGTACTCGAGGTGCTGATGTGACACCCACCACTGGTTGCCAGGACCATGGGGAAACTGCAGAGCAAAATCAGCTTCCACACCTCCAAATACAGGTAAAGCAATGCTGGAAGATCAGGTCTTGTTAATAAACCAGGTGTGAGAGTGAAGAGAGCACAAATGAGCAGAGAATATGGAAAGCACAGGGGTTTAGTTTCATTATTGGATGTTTGAACCAGGTTTTCATTTCTAACCCTCACTTAAAAAGTCTGCTCAGCCTCTTTGGGAGGACTGAAACCCCAAGTGTCACTCACAGGAATGGCCAAGCATGTAACCATGGCCAGTGGTTGTGCTCTGTGATGGATAAGGAAGGGGAACATCTCCAGGAGTGGCTCTGTGGCCCAGTACCCAAACTGCTTTGTTGTGTCCTCAGAGCCTGCCACCAGCCTTCATGGCCAAGATGAAATAATTCAGTCCCTGGCAGCGGGGAGAGGCTTCTCTGCCTGGAGAGCAGCACGGGGTGGCAGTGGGGGGACTCGTGCCAGGGAGGTGTCACAGCAAAGAGCAGCAGAGCCTGACCCATGGGAGGGCTGTGGAGGCTGGTGAGGTCAAAATCTCTTTTCTTCTTTTCACCAGCACAGAGCGAGCGACAGACAATTAAATATTCAGCAGCTCTGGAGCTGGGATAGGTCTGCCCCATCTCACTCACAGCCTCTCTCTGGCTGTCCAAGGCAGATGTTGTCATGTCAGAAGATGCCAGAGGTGCCAGGGAATACCACCTGACCTCTCCTCCCAGCCCTGCAGCTCCCGGTGCTGTCCCTGTTCCTCTGCAGGGCTGACGGCTCCGTGGGACAGGCGGGACCCGCTGGTGCCTCCCGGCAGCACAGCCCCACTCACACCGACGCTGTCACCTCTGTGGCTGCCCTCCAGCCAGACCTGTGTGTGTCAGGAGGAAGGGATAAGGTGAGGTATCCCCTGGGACAGGATAATATATCAACAGCTTCAAAAGTAAGGTTGAAGTGTGAGCTTTGAACATTTCCGTGATGGTGGCTATGTCAGTGCCTGGATTTAGAAAGGAGAAATGAGCTTAGAGTGAGGGCACACCCTGAAGCACATGAACTCAAATTTTGTAACCTCTCCAGAGCTCATGTCACATCAAATGCTCCCTCCCAGGCTTGGGATCGCCAGAATGACTCTTACATCACCTGTCTGTAAGGACAGCTGTACATGCTCTGGGAGCTGAAAACCAGAGGAACCTGTTCCCTGTCCTGTGGACTGTGCACAAGTCTTGGTATGACATGTCCTCCCTGCCCTGCTCTCGTGCTGACCCCTGTCCCTGTCCCTGCAGAGCGTGGCTGTGTCCAGCTGGAGGTCCGGGGCTGCCCTGCGCCGCTTCACCGGCCACGAGCGTGAGGTCACCAAGGTGAGGGCTGGGGAGCCAGGAATGATGCAGCACTGGTTTGTCATCCACAAGAAAGGTGGGATCAGAGCATTCCTGGTGTCCAGCTGCGGATGGTTGATGACCTTAAATGTCTTTTCCAAACTTAATGATTCATCAATCTGTGATCAGAACACATTAGATTTTTTCCAAGGTCCCAACAGATACTTTTGGAAGCAGCATGGAGTGTTGCATTCAGACTAAACAGGGATGTAGGAGGTCTGGATGTGAGCTTGTCTTCCCTTCCAAGAGACTGTATAGCAAAAGCTGGATGAATTATGAGGTCAAGCTTCTGATGCAGAGATGCCATTCAATTTTCTTCAGGCCTCATTCTGCTAGACTTGACATTATTCCACAAATCAGCCATGCCTGGCTGAGACATTCTGGGAATACCCATGCCATGTGCTGTAGCAGGCATATTCTGGGAATAGCAGGGCTTTAATTTCCTTTCTGAGACTGGGATGACAAAGCCAAGCAGGCTTCTGGGAGGACCTGAAGGGGGCTGTAGCTGTGAGTGGTGTGGCCAGTGCACCTCTGCAGGGGACAGCCCCAGTTCCCCTGGGCTGTGGGTACTGCAAAGACAAAGGGGGCTTTGTTCACCTCAGTGCTCAAAACAACTGTGCACTGGGCTCATTTGGGTTTGTAAGGATGTTTTTCTTATAAAAGAAATGGTTTCTACAAACAAGACCTGAGAGCACCCATCCACCATCCCTGGCTCTGAGGGGACAGAGTTGGGAAGCCAGGCTCTCCCCAGTGGTGTTCCTGCACGTGTTGGGCTGTGGCAGGACAGCAGCAGAGTTGTGCTCTCCCTGTGAGCTGGGTGGGAGGATGAGCAGCTTCTTCTGGTCCTTGGCAGGTCACCTCAGCCCTTGACTCCAGCAGAGTCTTCAGCGCATCCCGGGACAAGACAGTGATGATGTGGGAGCTTCACGGGACTTCGGGGCCAAGCCAGCACTTCCCAGGACATGACCTGGTTGTTACTGGACTGGCTGTGAGCCCAGGTGAGGGACAGCAAACTCCCAGTCCCCAGGGACTGGCTGAGAGTGTTTTCTGCCTTGTTTTTGGTGTTAACTTGTGGTTGCAGACGCCTCCCAGCTGTGCACGGGCTCCCGGGACAACACTGTGTGCAAGTGGGACACCGAGACTGGGGAATGTCTGGGCAGAGCTGCCATCTCCAGGAATCTGGTAGGATGTGCTGGTTCCTCCAATCCCATCCCATCATCCACCCCCCCTCCCTGCCCACATGGTTATTTCACACCTGGAGCTGTGCAGAGGGAATTTGCTGGGAGCTTGGTGCCAAAGGGAGCCCTTGGGACACTGTGCACCTGGGCAGGCCCAGCTTGAGGCTGGTTATTCTCCAGGTAACAACAAACCCAGGAGCACAAAAGTACCAAGGGACTCATGGCAATTTATCAATGCTCTAACTCTGAGCTGTTTGGAAGCACACAGAGTCATGGAATCACTGAGGTTGGAAAAGACCTCTAAGACAGAGTCCAGCCATTCCCCCAGCACTGCCACAGCCACCATTAAGTCATGTCCCCAAGTGCCACATCTACACAGCTTTTAAATCCCTCCAGGGATGGTCACTCCACCACTGTCCTGGGCAGCCTGTGCCAATGCCTGACCACCCTTTCAGCGAAGAATTTTTCCCCATTATCCAGCCTAAACCTGCCTTGGCACAACTTGAGGCAATTTCTTCTCATTGCTTGTTTCCTGGGAGCAGAACCTGACCCCCACCTGGCTGCACCCTCCTGTCAGGGAGTTGTGGAGAGCCAGAAGATCCCCCTGAGTCTCCTTTTCTCCCCTGTGCAGTGGGGCTGCATTCTCTCCTGTACCAGCCCAGAGCTGGGGTGGGTACCACCCCCTGGTGCCTGTGCTGTCCCTGCTCCCATGGCCCTGTGTCCTGCTGCTGGCACCTCCCAGCAACCCCGCTGGGACTGGACCTGGCAGGGGAGCAGAAAAAGTCTTCATCCAACATTTCCAGCTCCCAACCCAGCAGGAGGAGGGAGAGGATGGGAGCTCAATGATTCCATCCTCAGGCAGACACAGCCTGGGCTGCACACAGAGGTGACTCCTGCTCATCTTTCCCTTTCCACAGGTCACACACCTGTGCTGGGTTCCTGGGGAGCCTTATGTCATCCAGACCTCAGAGGATAAAACCACCAGGTAAATTCTCCCTGTGGCCAGAGAGCAGGGAGGTTCAGCCCGAGGCTGTTGTGGGGTTGGTTGTCATGACCACTTCTGGTGTGGCTAAAAGCCACCTGCCAGCTCACCTGGACCTTGGAGTGTGACCTCCAGCTGGGTGCAACACTGGGTGGTGACTGCAGGTGAAAAGGAGAAATTGTGAGAAAGAAAGCTGGAGAGTGATCCAGCATGGATAAATGCAGGGAGAGAGGGACACAGAGAGAGTTTGGGAGCAGCCAGGACAGAGCTGTGGGCACAGCCGGGGTGCGCGGGAGGGCACAGAGGGAAGCCATGGTGGTGATGCTGCCTCAGGGTCCCCCTGCCCTCTGCTGCTCCCTGCAGGGTGTGGGACAGCCGGGAGCTGCAGGTGGCCCACACGTTCCCAGCCAAGCAGCACATCCAGACGTGCTGTGACGCGAGCCAGGACGGGCGGTACTGCCTGAGCAGCAGCAGCGGCTGCGCCGGCCACGGCGCCGAGGCCACCGTGAGTGCCCTGGGCTCGTGCTGCCTTCCCTCCCACACCACAGCAGGCAGGGAGAGCAGCACTCCACTGCTCCAGGGGCTGAGCGCTCCCACTGCCCTGGCCTTGGGCTGCTGTCTTCCTGCCTGGCCCTTTGGGAAGTTCTGCTCAGAAAATATCAGCAGTTATTCCTCCTGATGAAACCATGGGATTTACCCATCCCTGTAAGTGTCTAAGGCCAGGCTGGGTGGGGCTTGAAGCACCCTGATCTAGTGAGTGGCATCTGTGCCATGGCAGGGAGTTGAAACAAGGCGGTCTTTAAGGTTCCTTCCAACCCAAAATGAGTCTGGAATTTCATTTCAGTAAAACACACGGGAAAAAACAATGGATGCCATTGAGGAACACAAGGTTCCTGCTGAAAGCCTGTAAGGGATCCTTTGTTCCAGGTGTTTCCAAACCAGGGGTTCAGTCCTGTAGGTTTTCAGCCCTGCGTGTGAGGATCAGGAGGATGAAACAATCCCATGCCAGGGTGGGCAGGGTTGAGCATGGGAGCAGGCTGGACACTTCTTACCTGCCTGCACAGTCTTAGCTTGTTGCCTCTAATGAGTGTAGCCATGTCCTCAGTCACCATTGTTGAAAATCCTTTGGGCTTTGATGCTCTCCAGGACTGTGAGCATGAGCAGGGACAAGGGCAGTAGCCATGGCACTCTGAGGATTGGTGAGGAGCTCTTTTATCCCAGCCCACCTTCCTGTCCTGGTAAAACAACTCCATGCTGGCACAGCTGGGGCTCTACCACTGCCTGTTTCCTGCAGCTCTGGGACCTGAGGCAGACCAGGGGCCGAGTGTGTGAGTACAAGGGGCATTTCCAGACCACCACCTCGTGTGTCTTCCTGCCCCGGGGCCCCACGCTCGCCCCCAGCATTGCCACATCGTCCAGCGACAGCACAGTGAAGGTCTGGGACCAAGGCACTGCAGGTAGGGGACGCTCCTGCCCACTCCTTGTTCCTTTCTCCTGGATGACAAACCCACTCCCCCCAGTTCTGTCTGCTGTGGTGATGGGCAGGGTGACTGCTGCAATCTCAGGGCAGGATGGAGAAATGCCCCAGAGCAAACCCAGGGCTCAACAAACATGAAGGAGCTGCATGTCAGAGATGACAGAGATCTTCCCTCAGCTAAAAGGAAGAATTACCAGGCAGCTTTTAAAGATACTTGGAGCTAAGCCATGAAAGGACAAATGATAGAAAGAAAAAAACTCCAGAGATTTCTGCTTAAGTAGAAAGTTGTAAGGAATGGAATTTGTACTGGAGGACAGAGGGCTGATCAGCCAACACCCTCATTTTGGTTGTCCTCCTGAAGGGGAATCGTGGGCATTTTGGGGTTAAACCTGGTGATGAGGGTGAGTCCCTCCCTGAGTTGGACACAAAGGGGTTTGTTTGCCTGCCAAGCCCTGCCATGGCAGCAGGTTCTTAGTAACCCTTGTGCTGCAGGCAGAGATCTCTTGGGAGCTGTTCAGGCTCACAGCATTAGACACTCCCCGGGGCTAAGCCCCTCTCCAAGGGAACTTATTTAAGATGGGATGAAAATAGAAACCTGAGGCTTTCCTGCAGAGAAGGACCTTCTGTTCTCTTACCTGTTCCTTTGCCTGGTGCCTGTGCACCCAGGGTGGCTGTAAGGGTGGCAGCAGCTTGGATCCCCTTGCCTTCCCAGCTGGGTGAGCCATAATCCAGCTGCTCTGGGAAGGGTGCAGGTAACCAGGAGAGGCAGCTGCCTCTGGGTCCAGGCCAAGTGCAGCTCTGTTTGCAGCTCAGCCTGGGGCTGGGGTCTCTGCACAAATTGTCTCAGGGAGTTTAATAATAGACACAAACAGAAAGGCTCCTGTGTAAATCTGATTTCTCTTGGAGATTCATCAAAACTAAGAAATGTGGGACAAAAAGGTGGGTTGGAAATGGCTCCAGGCACATCCTAGAGCTCTGCCCAGTGGGGGCTCCAGGTCCATCCAGCCCTGCTTTCTCTCCCAGGAAGGGGCAGAGCCTGACCCCAGTCTGGATCCCTGTCAGCCACGCTGACTGGGCAATGCACGGGGTGAGTCTGTACCAGGGGCACATCCCAAGGTGTTGAAGTGTGGATCCAGGCAGCAGCTCACCCACCTCGGGCGAGCAGAGCCTGGAGGTGAGAGATTGGTGTGGCCCTGCCTCATTCAGCACACCCAGCATCCCTCCCGTGTCCCTTCCCTTGCAGCCTGCCTGGCCACGCTGTGCCTCGAGGGCTCGGGCCCGCTGGCCTCGCTGGCCGCCTGCGACAGCTCCACGCTGCTCTGCGCCAGCAGCTCCGGCATCCGCGTGCTCCGGGTGAGCGGCGGCGCCGAGACTGTCCTGGAGGAGGTGGCGGCGTTCTGAGCACCAGAATCGCCTGTCAGACACTGTCCTGGAGGAGGTGGCAGCGTTCTGAGCCCCGGAACCCCCATCTCAGACTCCAGGGTCCCAGGAGGGGATGTGACCCCCAAGAGCTGCCCTGACGGCAGGCAGCAGGGACTCTGTGCCTGTGGGGCATGGCAGCAGGGCTGGGGCAGTTGCTGGTTGGTTTGTGGGTGGCAGGGAGGCATCAGAGCTGTGCAGAAAAGCCAAGCCCTGGGAGCCTTCAGCTCCTTCTCCTGACTGAGCCTCCTGCATTTTCCTTACAAAGGCTCCCTGGGCAGAGGGAGATGAGACACCAGGACCAAGGAACAGATACTTGAGCTGAGTATCTGCTGATCGAGAAAAGCCAAGCCCTGGGAGCCTTCAGGCCAAGCTCCTGCTCCTGACTGAGCCTCCTGCATTTTCCTTACAAAGGCTCCCTGGGCAGAGGGAGATGAGACACCAGGACCAAGGAACAGATACTTGAGCTGAGTATCTGCTGATCTGAGTATCCAGGCTGAGCCCAGCTGGATCTGGGCTTGGACCAGAGGAGACTGCAAGGAAATAATTCTCCTGTGTTACTTGTTGGCCTCTCATTCCATCGTATTTTCCCTGGAAGGAACTGTGCTCATGTTCCCAAGGAACACAGAGCTCCTCTCCAGCTGACAACAGGGAGGTGAATCTGTCATCTCTTTATTCTTGAAAGTTTTCATCTGAGCTGGAGGGACCCACCAGGATCACCCAGCCCAGCCCTGTCCCTGCCCAGACCCCCCAAAACCCCACCCTGGGCATCCCTGGCAGCGCTGGCCAAAGGCTCCTGGAGCTCTGGCAGCCTCGGGGCCGTGCCCATTCCCTGGGGAGCCTGGGCAGTGCCAGCACCCTCTGGGGGAAGAGCCTTGCCCTGAGCTCCAGCCACTCCCTGGCTCCTGTCTCTGTCCTAGGGAGCAGGGATCAGAGCTGCCCCTCAGGAGGAGCTGCAGACCCTGATTAATCTCCCCTCAGCCTCCCCTTCTCCAGGCTGAACAAACCCAATGACCTCACCCCTCCTCAGCTGTTCTGTACACCAGCAGAAATCAAACTGTGCATTGTGAAATTCCTGTAATTTCTCCATTCCTTGTGAGGCCCAGAGCCAGGATACACACTCAAAACCTGTTTAGATCTTCCAGGGCACATTATTTGCAAAACCTCAATTTAAACAACAAACAAGTACAAAAGCTCTCCCCAGGGCAGGGCAGAACAAGCCAATCCTACACTGAGTGACCTCACACAGCAAACCCTAAACGTGAGATGCTGAAAGGGATTTGCAACACCCAGTCCATGAGATAACTCATGGAGTAAGACACAAGGTGGTACCTGGAAAAGGAGATTCCCTGGCCTTGGACATCTACTGTAAGTGAATCCAGGGGGATGCAGATCTCCATCCAGACACCCGTGAGGAGGCTGGGGAAGGAGGGCACCACGTGCCTCTCCCTCTGAGCTCTCACACACCTACCAAAAAGGAAGGTGAGAAGGGCAGTAACAGAAGCTGAACCACACACCAAACCTGAAATGCTCTGTGGTTACTGCAAATGTTTGGAGGACACCAGGGAGCTGAACTTGGAAGGGAGAGAAGTACATGGATCAAAATTACAGCAGAAAGTGGTACCTGCAGTATAAAAACAGTCCAAAATGTGGGAAAACCCCCAAGACTTGACACCAACCAAGTCCAGGCCAACAGTGGTGCTTCAAACACACCCAAACTCCAGAGCAGCCATGACTGCAGCTGCTGTAACACACTGGATTCCTGTTTTTTTCTTTAATATAAAAAAGCAACCAAAAGTCATTAACGTCCCCGACCCAGTCCGTAACCGGCCCCTCTGAGCTACTCGGCTGTCCAGAGCTTGAAGGTTCTGTCGTAGGAGCAGGTGGCAATGAGCTGCCCATCCAGGGAGATGTCCAGGCCCATCACCTTCCCCTCGTGCCCCGCCAGTGTCTTCAGTGGGGACCAGCCAGGGTGGGTCCAGATCTTGGCCGTGTTGTCGTAGGCGCCCGTGAGCAGGAAATTCCCGTGGTTGGCTGCACAGGAGGGAAACAGGGGAGAAGTGAGGCTTGCAATGAAAACATCCCTGCTCACAGCACAGGCCTTGCTGAGCTGCAGGTGTGGGTGTGAGCTGCTGCAGGGGCAGGGCTAGGGAGCAGCAGGGACTCACGTTCAAACCGGACGCCGGTGACCAGGTTCTGGTGGGCAGGGATGGTGTAGATGCACTTCCTCTGCCGCAGGTCCCACACCTTGCAGGTGTTGTCCCCACTGCCCGTGGCCACGTGGTACCTGCCAAGGAGGGGAGGCAGAGCAGCGTTTAGGGAGTGGAGTTTGCACTCAGAGCTCCCACATCACTGCCAGCTCCCTCTTTACCCGTTTGGGGAGAAGTTGATCCCGTAGATCTCCTTCAGGTGCCCTTCCAGGAACATGATACAGCGGCCTGTGCGCAGGTCCCACACCCGGCCAAAGGCATCCAGGCCTCTGCAAGCACAGGATCACACACTGAGCTGGGCTGGGAGGGACCTTACAGATCATCCTGGCCATGGCAGGGACACCTTCCACCATCCCAGGCTGCTCCAAGCCCCATCCAACCTGGCCTTGGGCACTGCCAGGGATCCAGGGGCAGCCACAGCTGCTCTGGGCACCCTGTGCCAGGGCCTGCCCACCTCCCAGGGAACAGTTCCTAATTCCCAATATCCCCTCCATCCCTGGCTCTGGCAGGCAGCCATTCCCCAGCAGAAAGCCTGGTGGCAGCCAGCCCCCGTGCAGGGAGAGCTCACCCGGTGCCGGCGAGGGAGCCGTCGGTGTGGAAGGCGATGTCGTAGACGCCCTTGCTGTGCCCCTCCTGGTGCAGGATCTCCTCCTGCGCCTCCAGGTCCCACAGGCGCCACGAGTGATCGTAGCTGCGAGACAAAGCACTGCTTAGACCAGAGCCACTCGGGCTGGAAAAGCCCTCCAGGACTGTGGAGTCCGAGTGCTAACCCAGCACCCCCACAGTCACCACTAACCCATCCCCAGGTGCCACCTCTGGGTGCTTTTTGAACACTTCCAGGATGGTGACTGCACCCCTGGGCAGCCCGTGCCAGTGCCTGGCCACCCTTTCTGTGAAGACTTTTTCCCCCAATATCCAATCTAAACCTTCCATGCTGTAACTTGAGGCCGTTTCCCCTGGTCTCCATGTAACTCCAGGGAGAATAACAGGATATTTCACCAACTCTGGGAGCATTTTTTCCCACCTGAGACCAACAGTGTCTCACACAGGGGCAGAGAAAGGAATGCCAAGGACCTGCTGTCACTGACACTCAGCAGCCCAGCTGAGGTCACCAATGGCCAAGCCCTGCCCTGCTGTGGACAAGGCCTGGCAGCACAGGGCCACCAGCTGGCAGCCCATGGTCACTTCTGGAAGGCAATGCCCAGGTGTCCGTACCAGGTGGTGCCCAGGAACCTCCCTGAGGGGTGCCACATCACACGGGCCACTCTCATGCTGTGTCCCTCGATGTCTGCCACCGGCTCATCGCTGAAACACACAACAAACCATTGGCCACTGGCCACGGGGTCTGGCTCCAGCCAGGCCTCTGCCCACACGTTGTGATGGCAGAGGAAGCTCTGCTGATGAAATCAAACCAGGCAGGAACATCAGAGCTGTACCAATGACTCTGAACTCTGCCTCTGGGTCACACTCAAAGCTCTGAGAGAAACCCTTTCTCCACTCCTTCTGCTCTCCTGGGATGACAATGATTATTCATGAAAATTAACAAGGCCCTTGTCATTAGCACTTTTGGAAGTACAGAAACAAACCACAAACTACCTGAACTGCAGGGAGTTCTGAGAACACAACATCCTGAACTGCAGCAACTCCTGCTGCTCTGCAGGATGCAGGCAGACAGGGTGGAGGGAACATTTATTCTCCCAGAATGACAGGCAGCAGGTCAGGAGCATTCACACAGGATCTGAACAGCAGTGAAGTTTCTTTCCAACAGGTTAATTAAGAGATGTGGTCACATGAGCCTAACAACCCCCTGACCCATTGAACAGGGGCACTTTTGCTCTTACAAACTGTGATTTTCAGCTAAGGAAAAACAACTGTGGCTCTGGGAGCTGCGTGCCCTTCCAGAAGCCCTGCAGGCTCCACTTCTCAATCAGGTGATGCTGAGGCTCAGCACCTGAACCCTTCTCCTCTTCCCAGGCCTGAGAGAGGTGCTCCCATCTGCCAGAGCTCCTCTGTGCAGTGACAACCACTTGTTTGCAGGACAGGCAGAAGTTTTTGTGCCTGGCTGTGTGTTTGGTCTATCCCTCTCCAAATCCTGGTGCTTTCCAACCACTCAAAAATTCATTTACTGATGAGTAAATGAGGGGGGCATCCAAGAGGGGCAATTTTCTCCTAAGTGAGATGCTAGAATGAAACAGTCCCCAGACCTTCCATCCATCACCCCCAGCAGCAATTGTGCCTCAATCCCTTTCAGACCATCTCCCTCACCTTGGCTCCCTAATCAGGGTGATCTCTCTTCCTGCTGAAGAGGGTGGCACCTACTGAGGCCAGGGAGGGCACTGGGGTAGCTACAAGAAAAGGTCATATTGGCAGGAGGATGGTAGATGTCTGGAGGAACACGGAATGAACCCCAGCACAGCAATGCTGCAGCTGTGCACATCTGGAACAGTTCTGACCTTTCCAGGTTCCAGAGTTTGACAGAGCCATCAGCTGCACACGAGGCCAGGCTCACGTCCTTCTTGTCCAGGGACACGGTGGCCTTGGGGTGGAACACGACTGCCCCCACGTTGGTGCTGTGTCCTGAAGGGCAAGAAAACCAAATTCAGAATCTGCCACGGGATCTTGGCCAGTCCTTCAGAAAAGCAGCATTTCTTGGCACTGGTGAGAGAGGTGCCAGTGAGCACTTCCACTGTGTCCTCAGTGCTGGGTGACACTGCCCTGTCACCCCCAGCCAAACTGCACTTCCAGGAGCACCCAAGGCAGAGCATCCAAAATGCAGCTTTGGAACCCTCAATGTGCAGACAAAATTCAACACATGAATCAAAGGATTTGTCCTCACATCTATACTTAGTCCAAGTTGTGACCACTACTCAAAGAATCTCACTTGTCAAGTGACCTGCCCAAACTGCTGCTGTTTGTAATTCGAGTAACTCAAACCAGGTTTGGAAACCAAACCAAACTGTTCAGAAACAAACTTGGAGCTGAGGTTTGAGCTAAAGGCCA